GCGCCCCGTCCTTTCCCCCGCCCCCAACCCCGGGCTCTCCGCGTGCCTGGCGCGACCTACCTCGGGCGCAGCCGCCGCCACCAACTCCGGCGCTCACCCGCCGGGCCGCGAACTGTCCCGGAGCATGCGCTCTGCAGGCCTCGGGCCCCGACCTCGGCCAGAAAGGAAAACAGGGGGCCCGGCGCCCCCTGGCGGCCGCCCCCAGAACTGCGGCTGGCTGCTCCGGAGCCCCAGCCACACGCGGATTGAGTATTGGAAACCCAATCAAGACAACCACCAGTAGTGTTAACATACCCTCCTCCTCCGTTTGGACTTAACATTCTCCATCTTAGGTCCTCAGCCCCTTCCCCGAAATCAGATGATCGGGCCAGGCCTAAGAGGAGTCGCATGTTATCTCTAGCCTGCAGCTGGGACCCCAGAGTACTCCTCTCCTCCCTGTGCAATTTCCCCACCCAAGACCCCTGGCTGCAAAAAATACTCCCCTGCACACAGACCGGCTGCTGCACCCTGCCCGTCAGGGACAGCATGTCAGTTTGCTGACAATAAATTTTGGTATCCCTATGATCCTCTGGGAACTTCCATTGGTGCTGTGACTCAGATCTTGGTTCCCCTGGTGGCTCTTGCTCTTCCCCCTGGGAATTCGAGCTGCCCCCTCCCCCCGCGGACCTTGCATTGGTCTCAGGGCCACCCAGAAGACGGCCAAGGTGATCTCCCCTGACCAAGAGTTCTTCCCCACGTCCAACAGCGGCCAATTCGACCTGTCTCCTGGGTGAGTGATAGCTCTGGGGGTTCAGGGTCCATTTTTCAAGGGAAAAATCTTGGCACCAAGTCCTGAGCTCTCCTGGGCCTCGACCACCGGGCTGTAAGGCCACAGGGACGCAGTTTGCATGGACTGTCCTTCCCGAGGGCTTCAGAGATAGACTCCATTTGTTTGGCCAGGCTTTGGCACCAGACTTACTGGACCTGGATGTACAATAATCTACCTTTTTCAGTATGTAGACAAACTCCTGTGCAATCCACACCCCTACGTGTTGCTTCTTAACTTCGTGGCTGAGGCTTTTGGGTGTCACCAAAGTCCAGACTACTCATGCCTCAGTTACATATTTGGGCCTGCAGCTTACTTCTACCCATAAAACCATTACCACCACCACCCCACTCCACCCGCACAAGCATCTGATTGCCAATTATCTGGCCCAGCCCCCCCCCTCAGAGCTGCTTTCCTTTTTGGGCTTGCAGGATATCACAGATCTTAGCTACTCTGCTATTCTTTTGGCTCGCCCTCTATACAAGGAGGCTAAAGGCCCTCAAGAGAAGTCCCAACTTTCCCCCTCCTCTGTAAATTTCACCATTTACAAAGCTGCAGCAAAGCCCTTTTGCAAGCCCCTGTTCTTAGATTCCCCAACCTTTCATGACCATTTCTTTTGTATATCACTGAAAACCAGGGATTCACATTGGGGATCCTGGGACAGCAGATTGGACCTTCATTCCATACCTGACCTGCCCAAACACATGGACCCAACACATGGAGAATGGGCGCCTTGCTTCAGAGCACCTGCCACCTCTTCCCTTTTAATACAAGAATCAAAGAAACTTACCTTTGACCATCTGTCCCTTCATCACTACTCAGGATTCTGGATGGAAAGGGGCTTACATCCATGTCACCCTCAAGAGTCTTGCCCTTCTGGTCTCCCTGGTCAAGGATCCCACCCTGACTTTTTCATCTTGTCCTCCCCTTAATCCTTCACCCCTGCTCCCTGCTGGAGACACACATTCTTCTCCCCCACACTCCTGTGTGGAAACCTTGGAAGACCTCCTGCCCCACCCAGGAACAGATGGACCGCTTAAGAACTCATACTTCACCAGGTGCCGGTGGCTCACGCCTGTAATCCTAGCTACCCAGGAGGCTGAGATCTGAAGATCACGGTTTAAAGCCAGCCTGGGCAGGAAAGTCCATGAGACTCTTATCTCCAATAAACTACTCAGAAAACTGGAAGTGGTGCTGTGGCTCAAGAGGGAGAGTGCTCTCCTTGAGCTGGAGAGCTCATGGACAGTGCCCAGGCCCAGAGTTCAAACCCCACAACCGACAAAAACAAAAGGAACCCACACTTCATCTGGTTTACTCATGGCAGCTTTCTCTGGGAGGGTTCACAGGTAGCTTGAAATGCACTGAGATGGTGGACTCTGGCCCATTCATGGTAAACACAACTAGCCAGCAGGCTGGGCTGGTGGCACTAACATAGGCCTTTGGTGGGCAGTGGGCTGCTCTTTGACAGTATACACTGACTCCTTTCATACTAGCCTTGCTCACGCAGCTATCTGAAGGAGCAATGACTTCTGTCAACTAAGGGGACCTCTCTCATTCATGGTTCTTTTTTTTTTTTTTTTTTGGTGTGGGGCCTGAACTCTGGGTCTGGGCGCTGTCCCTCAGCTCTTCAGCTCAAGGCTAGTGTTCTACCACTTGAGCCACAGCGCCTCTTCCAGCATTTTCTGCTTATGTGGTGCTGAGGAATCAAACCCAGAGCCCCATGCATGCAAGGCAAGCGCTCTACCACTGAGCCACCTTCCCAGCCCCTATTCATGGTTCATTCTTTTTTTGGGGGGGGGGGAATCCGGTTGTGGGGCCTGAACTCTGGGCCTGGGCACTGTCCCTCAGCTCTTCAGCTCAAGGTTAGTGCTCTACTACTTGAGCCACAGCACCACTTCTGGCTTTTTTCTTTTTGCTTATGTGGTGCTAAGGAATCAAACCCAGGGCCTCAGGCATGCAAGGCAAGTGCTCTACCACTGAGCCACCTTCCCAGCAACCCCCCCTATTCATGGTTCTTATATTTCCAAATTCCTCGAGGCCTCTTTGCTCCCTTCAGCTATTGGGATAGTCCACTGCTAAGCCCACCAGACAGATGACCCCTTCACAACAAAAGGGAACAAGCTGGCTGACACAGAGGCTCAGCAAGCCAAATCTTGGCTCTGGAGCTGCCACTCATTGGGGAGGGTCCGTCACCCTCCAAACTGGATATCCTTCAGAACCTCCACCACCTCTTTTACCCCCACACTGGGATATTGCAGGAGTTCCTCAAACAAAGCTGCCTCAGCTCTGGTTGCACAGTTCCCCTGCCACATGTCCTGCCCATGTAAGGTATGCCGAAACAAAAGACAAAAAAAACTAACCCTAGGGCTGGGAAGGTGGCTCAGCGGTAGAGCGCTTGCCTTGCATTCCTGAGGCCCTGGGTTCGATTCCTCAGCACCACATAAGCAAAAAGAAAAAAAACGGAAGTGGTGCTGTGGTTCAAGTGGTAGAGCGCTCGCCTTTAGCTGAAGAGCTGAGGGACAGCGCCCAGGCCCAGAGTTCAGGCCCCACGACCGGACCCAAAAAAAAGCAAACAAAAAAAATACTAACCCTAATACTAATGTTCAGCCACCCCATTTTCCAACTCACCAAGCCCAAGAACACCTTCCAGACACAAGGACTGGTGGGTAGATGTCACCCACATGCTGTCACTCAAAAGGTTTAGGTAGGGCTGGGAAGGTGGCTCGGTGGTAGAGCGCTTGCCTTGCATGTATGAGGCCCTGGGTTCAATTCCTCAGCACCACATAAACAGAAAAAGCCTGAAGTGGCGCTGTGGCTCAAATGGTAGAGCACTAGCCTTGAGCTGAAGAGCTGAGGGACAGTGCCCAGGCCCAGATTTCAGGCCCCACGACTGACAAAAAAAAAAAAAAGGTTTAGGTATTTCCTGGTAATGATGGGCACATTTACGGGTGGGATTGAGGTGTTCCCCACCACCAATAAGCAGGTATCCATGGTATCTTTCAGGAAATAATCCCCTACATTGGTTGCCTGCTTCTATAGAGACAGAAAATAGACTGGAGTTTGTGTTGGCTATGGCCCTAAACATTTTATAGCACTTCCTGAGTCTTGGGAAAGGTAGAGAGAGCTAATCGCTTTCTTAAACAAGTACTAACCAAGCCATCTCTCAAGCTCCACGCGGACCGGATGCAGCTATTGCTTGAGGCTCTCTTTACCTTAAGGGCTCTACCAAAAAAGTCCCTTACGCTGAGCCCCCTTGAGATCAGGTATGGCTGCTCTCCTTTACCACACCTCCTAACCAGCCTCTGACTCTCCTCTACCCTCAGAGATGTGGGCACCTCTTCTTCAACATCTGTGTACACTTTCCTCTGGAAATACATGGACTCCAATAGCCCCTCCCCTTCTTTCTCCACTTCCAAGTCTCCTCTCCAGGGCAGGGATTTAGTGTCTGTTTCCAAAGCTGGATGCCGCATTCACCAGCCTTGCCTGGCCTCTCTGCAAAATGGGAGGGATCCTACCTGGTTCTTTTCTCTGTATACCTATACTGAATTCCAAACCCTGGCAGACAACAATCCTGCCCTCTCAACCACTCCTTCTGATGGGAAAAAGCCTAATAACAGCGGCTGCCCCTACAGGATTAGTCGGAGGAAGCCTTGATCATTCCATTTCCTAGAGCACTCAGGTACGAGAAATTCTCCAGTCCTCTTGCACCCTATCTGGCAAAGACAGCCTGTCAGCTTGCTGACAATAAACTTTGCTGCATGTGACTCATGTCCAAGTGGTCTTCTGGGCTAGAGTTTCAAGGAGTCCCAAAGACCACGGAATCAGAGTTTGTTTGGGAAAATTAGATCAAGTGTCTATAAAGAACAGAAAGATACTGATCTTGCCTCCCCTCCAATGATCTCTAGCTGGGCGCTAGTGGCTCATGCCTGTAATCTTAGCTATTCAGGCAGTTGAGGTCTGAGATCATGGTTTGAATCCAGCCCAGGCAGGAAAGTCCATGAGACTCTTATCTCCAAGTAGATACCAAAAAGCTGAAAGTGGAACTGTGGCTCAAGTGGTAGAGCATTAGCCTGAAGTGAAAAAGTTAAGGACAGTGCCCAGACCCTGAGTTCAAGCCCAAGTATGGGTATAAAAAAAAAAAAAAAGTTCTTCCTGTGGTTCGAAGCCAGCTTGGCAGGAAACTCAATAAGATTCCTATTAGCAGTTAACCACCAGAAAACTAGAAACGCAGCTTCTGCTGAAAGTGGTAGAGCACTAGGCACTGGCAAAAGAGTAGCTCAGGGACAGTTCCTGGGTCCTGAATTAATGCCAACAAAAAAAATGGGAGCTGGGAAGGTGGCTCAGTGGTAGAGTGCTTGCCTCGCATGCATGAGGCCCTGGTTTTGATTCCTCAGCACCACATAAACAGAAAACGCTGGAAGTGG